ACTGCTGCCTGCTGGCGAGAAAGGAGGATGAGTGTGGTCCGGTGTTGGTCCGTCCGCGACTCTCTGTGCCCTCTTGGGACCCAGAGACAGAGAAAACCGCTCTCCTGTCGAGATTTTTGGAAACCAGATTCTCCACCCGGCCCTCCTCCGGGGAAGGGAGAGGTGCATCCTTCTCTCTCTGGATCTCTGGAACTGCTGGGCCACGTTCTCGACTGCATCGCCAAAAAGGCCGGTCTGGGACACAGGGACATTGAGGAACCGAACTTTGCCGGCGTTCCTCATGTCGACCAGACACAACCAGAGGTGATGCTCCTGGACCACTTGACCACTCTCGTGCAGGTCCCTCAGTGCTTTAGCCTGAATAACCTGCAGTAACGCCGTAGCGTGTAAGGTGGAGGCAGCTTCACAGGCCGTATAAGCATCGCTGGTCAGTCAAGTACCTACAGACCCGGGAGGGGAGGCACGGTTCGCCCTGCTGGGTGGAGGCGGTATTAGGACACAACTGCATCGCAAACCGACCGCTCCACCAGGGGGACCCCCGTATACCCCCTAGCTGCACCACTGTCGAGAGTGGTGAGAGAGGAGGAGTTAGCAGGTCGGTTTAAAAAGGTGCCATCCACAACCATCCACAAACGCCACCTCAGCGTGCTAAATGCCCAGGCACGTGAGGCAGCGATCGTGACCATCACCCAGTGCCAGGTAACGACCGCATCCAGAAACGCCTGGGTGATACGTTGTCTATAGCAAGACCCACATCGTCTTTACAAAGACGTAATGTCAAGTTTGCCACGCAACGTCGTCTTTAATACGCACCCGTAAATGCTCTTTTAGGGAAAAGCTCTTTTAGCGTGCTGAAGTGCACAGGGGAGATGGCCGCCTGCAACACAAACAGGGGGTAGTGCAGCCTGATGTGTGCAACCCACTTGACACGGGAAACCACCACCGCTGAAGCACCGTACCGCCAACACGAAGAGCTAGACCGCGCTGAACTCGTTCAGTCTTCTTCTCTCAGTAGAGTAGTCAGGAGCAGAACGATGTGATCGCTCGGCTCCGAAGCGGAAAGCTGAATATGCGCTGCATCTGCTGCCTACTTACACTCACGCTGTGATCAGTGGCAGCTGGATGCAATAATCGCATGCCAATGTGCATTGGCTCGTTTAGTTTACACTCGAAGTAGATTGGTCTCTCTAAGCGAGATCCCAATTCGTCGGTCATCCGACGTGACGTCGAGAGTGACCAACTAAAAGGGAACTCTTTAGCACACACTTGCTTCTATCAAGCACTTTGAATTACGTATTCTAATCAATTTCCCTATGATCTGAAAATAATATCCTATCTCGTTCGCAATGCTT